CCCTCACTCCACCCATCGGTCTGTAGGTCACTCTCAACCCCTCACTCCACCCATCGGTCTGTAGGTCACTCTTCACCCCTCACTCCACCCATCGGTCTGTAGGTCACTCTTCACCCCTCACTCCACCCATCGGTCTGCAGGTCACTCTCCACCCCTCACTCCACCCATCGGTCTGCAGATCACTCTCCACCCCTCACTCCACTTGAAGTGGTTATGCTGGAGTGCATTGTGATCAGAGTGATGATTGTGAGTCGCTTGAAGTGGTTATGCTGGAGTGCAAATTGTGATCAGAGTGACGATTGTGAGTCGCTTGAAGTGGTTATGCTGGAGTGCATTGTGATCAGAGTGATGATTGTGAGTCGCTTGAAGTGGTTATGCTGGAGTGCAAATTGTGATCAGAGTGATGATTGTGAGGCGCCTGAAGTGCTTATGCTGGAGTGCATTGTGATCAGAGTGATGTTTGTTAGTCGCCTGAAGTGGTTATGGTGGAGTGCATTGTGATCAGAGTGATGTTTGTTAGTCGCCTGAAGTGGTCATGCTGGAGTGACAGTATTGTGACCAGAGTGATGATTGTGAGTCGCCTTAAGTGGTCATGCTGGAGTGACAGTATTGTGACCAGAGTGATGTTTGTGAGTGACAGAATAACGGGACTAATGAGTGTTTCATTGTTCACGATCCACGAAATCGTGTGTTTAATTAAGGATGTAATGGTGTTGACCCTGTGCTTATGTTTGATGGACACGCTGGTTTTGTGGTAGCACGACTAAGGGACTTTCCTGTTCATTATTTTGGCATTCAAATCCCGGTTGCTTACATTCAAAAAATAAAATCTAAGACTTTGATCTTTCGCAGCGAAGTTCAAGAAAAATAAGCCCCAGGTCCCATTGTTCAGAAGTAGCGTTAAAGACTGAAGGTTTCTACCGACCCAATGTTGCTATCACCGTGATTTTCATGTTATCAATTTCAGAAATGCAGAAAAAGAGAAAAACTCTGAAGCTCAACAGCTCCCATTGTGACTGCAGCGATGCCTAGAATTACTCTCATTGAAGTGTTCAACCAAATATGATTAAATTCGATTCTCATTGGTAACATAGACTCGACTGAGTTTTGCCAGCTGACTCTCGATCACTAAATTCTCATCAGACTAGGTCCAGCATTTTACTCACTCAGTGAAATGAAGAGAATCTTGGTAGGGTACTCAGTGTTGGTTGTGTGGTGGAGGCTGAGCTCGGAAAGATATGATTTTTGTAACTTTTGAAATATGACGGCTTACAAATTCTGATGACGCTTAATCAGAGTGAGTCATAGAGAAAAATGTCAACTAACGGATAGGTTAGGATAATGAATCCTCCGAGCAAGCCCACCCATCCTACCCCTCATGGACTCCCACGAACTCCCTCTCATCCCCACCTGTCATCCACCTCATGGAGCTCCTTCAAGTCCATCCCCCAGACACTGGGCAGTAAAGTGTCTCCTCTGATGCCCACCGCTCCTCAGAAAATATCCTCACTGATGCCCACCGCTCCTCAAAAGCTATCCCCTCTCATGCCCACTGCCCCTCAAAAAGTGTCACCTCTCATGCCCACCGCTCCTCAAAAATTGTCCCCTCTGATGCCCACCGCTCCCCACAAAGTCCCCTCTCTTACATCGAACCCTCCTGCGATGCTGTGTAAGCCCTCAGGTGCCGCGTTAGTAACGTCCCCGGGTCACGCGCTCGTCCCTCCTGGCGTTACGTCTACTGTCTCTGGCCCGTGTGGGATGGTCCCCCCTGGTGTCACGTCGCGCCCTGGTCCCCCGTCCAACCTCCCGTCGGCGCCCGTGACGTCGGCAGCGCTCGTCCCGTGTGCGACCATCACCGCGTCAGCGTCACTGGAGCGCAAGCTGAGCGTGATAGAACGCACTCCGCGCGGCCGCTTCGCTCCTTCGTACGGCTCAGTCGAGCGCATCTCGCGCTCCACCAGCTTCTCCTCGAGGGCCTCCTTCAGGAGACAGGTGCAAGCCTCCTTCTCGAGACAGGTACTGGGCTTCAGGAGACAGGTGCAAGCCTCCTTCTCGAGACAGGTACTGACCTTCAGGAGACAGGTGCAAGCCGACTTCTCGAGACAGGCAGGTGGAGTAGTACGGTCATACCACGAGGCAGGTGGAGTAGTACGGTCATATAATTCCGATGGCGGGTGAATACCTGCAATTGTGAGTAAAGGACAGACATTGAGGATCATCGTCAGCCACGGAACTCAAAATTGTTTCCTAAGATTTTATTTCACGACCAGATGAGGAGGAAGTACGATTCTTTTCTTTTTGAAATGATTTCAAATTACTAGCATCTATACCTGTATAGAGAGAGTATATAGCGTCAAGCATTTCAGACAAGGTACTACAGACAAGATGCAGCATAACAGACATGGCCGAATAACACTAATAGGTATAAACAAAAGCGCGATCGCGGTGAGCGGAAATCCGGCAGCGGCGATAGGGCCGAGAGCGACACGTTGAGTGCGGCCAGTCTTGTCGCGTCCCACGAGCTCAGCGCCTTGTTGTTGATCACGATCTCTCTGCATGTTGACTTAAGTAGCTTCATGCTTAAGTAGCTTCGTGCTTAAGTAACTTCATGCTTAAGTAGCTTCGTGCTTAAGTAGCTTCGTGCTTAAGTAGCTTCGTGCTTAAGTAGCTTCGTGCTTGAATTTATGTATCTAAGATGAGAAATTTATTTCTCTAGCTTAAATGTCACTAGTGATAATAAGTGACCTGTGAAATTATACTGCGTGTTGCTATTCCAAGCCGATAAGCGACAAAATGACAGTGTGTTGAAATGCATACTCGGTGCCATGGAATCACATCAATATTTCGGTACACTTTGTAGTAATCATATCAGTGTAGCAGTGTAGTAATATAAGTAAATACTGATACCTTAACTTTGGACCCACGTGTGCTATTTTTTTAAGGTTTGAATCAGTGTAATGTAAAAACAATTCGTTTATTTATTTACTGTGGTTAGGTTCAGCACGCTCTCCTAAAGTAAGGTTTGCTCTCAGTGGATTCTTTCGCCTGTGAAAGTGATTCATTCATGTTAATTAGTGTGTTCCTCATACGATCAGAGGGCAGAAACTTCTAGTTAAAATTATGTTCCGATCAAGATATTTTTTAAAACAGATATCCAGGCTGAGCTTACCTTGTATAAATGAACGAATGAAACGCGCGCTTGCTGGTGATAATTTTTATTATTGTATTCGATGTTCATCATACCTTCAAATTATCATCAATTGGAACACATAATTCCATTACATGAAGCATCACAGATATTACATACATTATGTATGTATTCAGTATATATACAGTATGAATGCAGTATACCTATATACTGCATGTATGCAGTATATATACTGTATGTATGCAGTATATATACTGTATGTATGCAGTATATATAGAGTATTTATACAGGATATTTGTCTATATTTGGTTTTTAATGTCGGGCGACGTAAATGTTTAGGGCAGATGGGGCGCGTATACATATGACATTTACTGTGTCGAGACCTGGAACTGACAATTTACTCCTAGTAGAATAGGAAGGCATTGCAAAACTGAAACGGATTGAATCGAAACTTGAAACTTGAATTTTAAATTGGCTGTTTAAAAATTGAATTTGAGTTCAACTAAAAAAGTGAGTTCTATGTTTCATGTAGAATTAGGGCTTTAACGAGTCTCTCTTAATTAACACGCAGAAACTTTATTATTATTAACAAAATTAGGAGCAACAGAAATGACGGGGATTCGGGATGACGGCACCCCAAAATTTCAGGGAATATCGAGCTCGGGCAACGCCGGGCTAATCTGCAATTGTATTAATGTAATAATACAAATATATTTAATAAGAGATACCTTATGATATACGTTGAAACTTCTATAATTCAAGGGCTGAAAAATTAATTCCAGCTCAGACGGATGTTCTAAGCTCAGTAGCGTGCGATCGCATGCGCTTATTTTTATCCAAAGTGCGAGCTTCATTGCGAAAAGTTGGATCCAAAGACTGGAGCTTTACCGCTGTTATTTTGATCCAAAGTAAGGAGCTTCCTTGCGGTTAGTTTGATCCGAATTCTTTAGCGTTACCGCTGTTAGTTGGATCCAAAATAAGGAGCTTCATTGCGGTTAGTTGGATCCAAATTCTTTAGCTCTACCGCTGTTAGTTGGATCCAAAATAAGGAGCTTACTTGCATTTAGTTTGATCAAAAGTGCGAGCTTCCTTGCGGTTAGTTTGATCCAAATTCTTTAGCTTTACCGCTGTTAGTTGGATCCAAAGTAAGGAGCTTCCTTGCGGTTAGTTTGATCTAAAGTCTGGAGCTTCCTTGCATTTAGATTGATCCAAAGTGTAGAGCTTCCTTGCGTTTACTTTGATCCAAAGTACGGAGCTTTCTTGCGGTCAGTTTGATCCAGGGTCTGGAGCCTACTTGCGGTTAGTTCAATCCAAAGTCTGGCGCTTCCTTGCGGTTAGTTTGATCTAATTTGTGTCGTGTCGTATTTTGTCTGGTCTCTGCAGTGACCTTACCACACCACACTAATTACAACAGGTGACCTATACATGTACTACAATGCATCATTGAGCTCTCTGCCGCAACTCGGACCCGACAACTCTCAGTGTCCCGTTGACGACGTAACTACCAACACTTGTGCGCTGTGCGGCAAATTTGTTCCGTTCGACGATTCTCGTAAATTAATGTACACAAATGAAGGTATCATCGAGTCGGCAATTTCTGCATCGCGGTGTGTTAAGTTCCAATCTATCGGTATTCTTGTACAATTTTTGAGGGAATGCTGAAATAAAGCTCATGCAAAATTTATTTTTTTGCATTAAATGAACATCGCAATTCTTTGAACTCAATAAATTACTCAAAGAACGAAGAAAAATCAATTCTGGTAATATTTCCATTGAAGTTCCCTATATTTTGAACGATTGTATGAAAGTTTGTTATAAAAATCATTGCCATGACCGTCGTTTCGTAAGTTCAATGCCTCGAGGCCGCGAGTTCACGAGAATTTCGAGTAAATTATCAAAAGATTCGAAGCCTGAAAGACTGCAAGACTCAAAGCCTGGAAGACTGCAAGACTCGAGGCCTGGAAGACTGCAAGACTCGAAGCCTGGAAGACTGCAAGACTCGAAGCCTGGAAGACTGCAAGACTCGAGGCCTGGAAGACTGCAAGACTCGAGGCCTGGAAGACTGCAAGACTTGCAGCCTGGAAGACTGCAAGACTCGAGACCTGGAAGACTGCAAGACGCGAAGCCTGGAAGACTGCAAAACTGGAAGCCTGGAGGACTGCAAGACTTGCAGCCTGGAAGACTGCAAGACTCGAAGCCTGGAAGACTGCAAGACTCGAAGCCTGGAAGACTGCAAGACTCGAGGCCTGAAAGACTTCAAGACTCGGAGCCTGGAAGACTGCAAGACTTGCAGCCTGGAAGACTGCAAGACTTGCAGCCTGGAAGACTGCAAGACTTGCAGCCTGGAAGACTGCAAGACTCGAAGCCTGGAGGACTGCAAAACTTGAAGCCTGGAAGAAGACTGCAAGACTCGAGGCCTGGAAGACTGCAAGACTCGGAGCCTGGAAGACTGCAAGACTCGGAGCCTGGAAGACTGCAAGACTCGGAGCCTGGAAGACTGCAAGACTCGGAGCCTGGAAGACTGCAAGACTCGAAGCCTGGAAGACTGCAAGACTCGAGATCTGGAAGACTGCAAGACTCAAGGCCTGGAAGACTGCAAGACTTGCAGCCTGGAAGACTTCAAGACTTGCAGCCTGGAAGACTGCAAGACTGGAAGCCTGGAGGACTGCAAGACTCGAAGCCTGGAAGACTGCAAGACTCGAGGCCTGAAAGACTGCAAGACTCGAGATCTGGAAGACTGCAAGACGCGAAGCCTGGAAGACTGCAAAACTGGAAGCCTGGAGGACTGCAAGACTCGAAGCCTGGAAGACTGCAAGACTCGAGGCCTGGAAGACTGCAAGACTCAGAGCCTGTGTACTGGAGGTCGGGGGTGGCAAGTCTCGTGGAGGTTCACTGTCCCTCCGGCAGATACCACGTGGCGGGTCACAATTTCTCTGCCTTGCCACTGCGGGCGTCGTGGACGTTGTCAGGGCGGCGGTCTCTGGCGCGGCAGAAGATAGTGAGTTGCATGGGTGGGCAGGTCGATAAATCCTGATAAGAATTGATAAGTGCGTAGATTTCAAATTAGCCTAATCTATGGATGGCACGTACAAAATATCAGTTTTAGAATAGGTAAACAAAGAAGCTTCATAAACTAACACTTCGTAGACACCACCCATTGTCTCTACGAAAAATGCAACCGATGTCAAGTTGGATTGGTTTAGGAGTTCAATGGCTCCTCCCTGGCTTAAGGAACGGCGCGGGGTTACATTTGTTTGTGTGAAAATCGTCTTTTCTGACTTATTTTCAATAAAATTGTTAGAAATATAATGAGTTTAGTTAATATTGTTTAAAAAAATTCGCAAACTTTTTAATAATTATATTGTCATGAAAGGAAGACAGGAGTTACTCCACTCAATGGTGAACTTTTAAAGCATTCACAGGCCAGCGTTAACTTACGAGTACATGCAAGCGAAATTCACGCATAACCAATAGCTCAGGGGGTTGATTTTACGCAGTTGGTATACATGACCTGTTAGCCAGTATAGTATAGTACGGTATATTATAGCATGGTATATCATAGTAAGGTAAAGTAAAGTAGCGTCGGGCTTGAAGAACAGGCCGTACTTAGCAATTATTTGGAATATAAAGTGATGTCGGCGCTAAAGAGTAGGCCTGATGTGGTCTGTCGCCGATTCTTTTACTTCACGTGATTTGTTCACAGAAGATCTAAAACCGTGGCATTTGACCGGATCTTTTCAGAACTGACGATAGTTTGAAATAGCTACTAGGCTTCAACCGGGTTTCGATATGGTCTGTTCTTGAACGCGTTCATACTCGGAGCGCCAACGATGTAATCAGGGAGGCTGCTCCACATGTCGGTGGATAAGAAGAAATGTCGCGTGGATAAGTTGCAGCGCGGTTTTTTTAGTTTATAGCCGTGGCCACTGGTGTTGGTTCTTGTTTCAAATTTTAGTAATCCTTCGGGGGCCTTGTATAAGCCATGAGTATACTTGTATACTTCAATGATGTCCCTACGCAGACGTCGATATCTGAGGCTTGGAATCTTCATAATCTTTAATCTTTCTTCATAGGACTTGCCCTTCAAGCCTGGAATTATCCTTGTTGCACGTCTTTGAACATTCTCTATTTAATTTCTGTCCTTTTCAAATCTCGATGACCACACAACGTTTCCAAACTCTAGACTCGGGCGTACGACGGCAACAAAAACTGCTTCATCGTTTCTGCATCTAGGAACTCGTATGAGCGTCTGATTAATCCAAGAAGTTTGTTGGATGTGTTAGCTTGCGTTTCAACATGCTTAGAAAATTTCAGCTCCTTGTCGACATAAACTCTGGGATCTTTTTACACACTAGACTACTCAATCATTACTCTTTCGTTGCAACCATGTCTTCTCATACTGTAATCTTGCTGTACATTGTTCTTCCCGAGGTGAAGTACTTTACACTTGTCAGCATTAAACGGCAGCTGCCACGTATCAACCCAGTAGGAAACGAAAAGTTTCCTAAACTAGCGTAGCGATTATGCAGATACGGTAATTTATTTCTCAGTCTCTCAGACTATTTAGTTATTTCTGCCTGATTACTCAGGAGCGGTGCTGCGTGCATGTCGTGTTGAGTGCTTCATATCTCGCGCACTTAACCTTACGCAGGCGCAGGCGCCGCACCTCACAAGACAGGCGCGCAGTGCACGCGATGCCTCACAAGACAGGCGCGCAGTGCACGCGATGCCTCACAAGACAGGCGCGCAGTGCACGCGACGCCTCACAAGACAGGCGCGCAGTGCATGCGACGCCTCACAAGACAGGCGCGCAGTGCACGCGATCGCGCAGTGCATGCGACGCCTCACAAGACAGGCGCGCAGTGCATGCGACGCCTCACAAGACAAACGCGCAGTGCATGCGACGCCTCACAAGACAGGCGCGCAGTGCATGCGACGCCTCACAAGACAAACGCGCAGTGCATGCGACGCCTCACGAGACAGGATTCCTTTCGAATCATAAGCATGGCCAGAGGAAATAATCAAATTTCTTATTTTGAATTCCAATTCTTTCCCTGGATCTAAAATGCGTCAACGTTTAAAATCTTGTTCTCTACAGGACTGGTATTGTAGGTAGGCGCTCGGGTACGCATATATTCATATAATGGACGATAATAAACAACTTGATGTCGCCGAGTGTAACCTCTCACGCAACCACAACTGCAGGGCATTCAACTTACATTCATCATCAATGCATACACTGTTTTGAAATTTCAAGGAGCTTTATTTTTTTTCATTTAAATTTTTATCGTAGAGAAGCCATAGTTTGATCCAATTTAAATATTCAGATTCAGCCCTCGTATGAAAAAAATTATTCCGGTCCAGGTGTAATCCCAACACGACAAATGTTGGGTATTCGCGTTCTAAATATTAAAAATATCATAACAAGTTTCCTAGCTCATAAGTTTAGAGTGCTAGGCATACAATACAAGCACACTCCAAAATACTTGTAGCTTAGCTTGGAGGAATCAATATTCCCTGCAATATTTATAATCCCGCTTCCCCGAATCCCCTATGTAATAATGAAGCTAATGTGTGATAACCAGGGAATGACCCGGTCAAACCTAAATTCTACATGGAACGTAAACTCTCCCCTCACTTCAAACTATGAACACAACTATTTACCGTCTTTTAAATTAATATAACATTTTTGGCCAAATCCTCTCCTCCTATAGTTTTGCCTTGCCTCTCTATTCTCATACGTACTAATAATAAATTTTCAGGTCCACGCAATATACCGCCACGATCCTAGTATCTTGGATACGCGCTCCAACAGGACCTAATATACAATAATTATTACGGCACGAGGCTTCAGACACATAAACTAAGTTTGACAAATATACAGGGTGTTTCAGAATTAAGTAACCCTTTTAATTTGTTAATAAATAAAAAACTAAGAACGTTATGAAGTTGAAACTTGTTTTATTTAAAAGAAGAACATTTTTATGGTAATATTGTATCCTAGTTTTTAAATATAATATCTTTTAAATGCCCACCACAATTGTTTTGACAAAATAGGGCTCTTCTCTTCGTTGCTTTCATAACCTTCATTAGTGTTTCTGACGAGAGTGCAAATTTTTGATATCCGCAAATTTTCGGTAAAGATATTTAAATGTGTTTTTTGAAGGATCCTTGTTTTGAAATGGATCCTGTAATCACGTTGAACTTCTGTTATTGACATCGTTATTGACTGTAGCGATAATTTTTGTTCTTTCTTCTTCTGCTGTAGCGAATCATGATGAAAATTTAAGTCTTGATAATTAAACACAAATTTAGCAAGCTATACAGGATAATGACGTAACTATGATACAATATTACCATGAAAAAGTTCTTCTTTTAAATAAAACAAGTTTCAACTTCATAACGTTCTTAGTTTTTTATTTATTAACAAATTAAAAGGGTTACTTAATTCTGAAACACCCTGTACAATACAAGACTTGCAGGTTCAACCATCGTTGTTCGGGCTGAATAACGGATTCTCGTTACTTTTTGAGAATCCGACATTCTAAATTTCGTCATCCCTAATCTGGTCACTCTGAAACCCGTCATATCAAACCCCGTTGTTAATGTTGAAATTAAAGTACTAAGTAATTGAAGGTAATTGCAAACCTATTGAAAAATCTCATCGGATGAGATAAAATTTGACGATTTTTTAAATCTGTATTCTGAATCTGTATTTTGTGAGTTTCGAATCTGTATTCGAAACTCACAAAACGGAAGGATCAAGATATGTCTGATTAATTTACGATTTTTTTTTATATAAAATAAAGTTCTAGATTTATTCACTAATATTAGGTGTCTCAGGGTATGCGCAACGATTAGTCCATTTCCGACATTCAGGGACTTGTTAGCGAGTATTCATGCTGCTTGCCGAAGTCAAAGACGAATTATCGGCAGCGCTTTAGTGGATTGCGTGGCTCATGGAAGCCTTCGATGTCGCAACGCTGCCAGCGTCCAGCGGCTCCAACGCGCCGCCTTCGTCGCAGACGCCAGCAGAAGTCGTGGTGCCCGTAGAGTTTATCGGGATCACGGAGGACGGCAGAGTGAGTCAAGCCTCTGAGATAAGCGTCGAGGAGGCGAGTGAGTCATGCCTCTGAGATAAGCGTCGAGGAGGCGAGTGAGTCATGCCTCTGAGATAAGCGTCGAGGAGGCGAGTGAGTTTATATTCTTCGACAAATTCAGAGGGAAATTTACAAATATCCTTTGACGATCGGGAACTTTCGAACGAAAGTTGCGTTTTCGAAAAAAAAAACTTTATAACTTGACAAGTTCATTTCGTAGTTGGTATTCTAAATGAAGAAACCATGGAATGTGATTCTTTCACAATAATTATGTTGTGTTTCGGGCTCCCCTAAGAAATATAATTTTCCCGCGTTAGGAAAATAAGCACGTAATTTTGCGACTTAGACCTGCCGTGCTTATAATTATTTAACTAAAATTTTTGTTATCCATGTTACACATTACACATTTGTTATTTGTTATCATTATTACACATTTTTCATCGCAAAACAGTGGACGAATAGTTGCCAACTGTAAACTATAGAGACTGAAGACGAGTCTACCATGGCAGACCTAACCTGTATTTTTTGTCTTACAGGGCGTACTGGTGCAAGAGATAGACGAGGGCCAGCCCTGCCTCATGTGTCGCGACAAATGCCCGGGCTACACGTCTCATGTCTGGAGGCAAGTAAAACATATTTGTTGGGAGGTTGTCTAAACTTTGCTTGAGAAGTGTTTAGTGTGAGAGATTGTCTTAACTTTGCTTGAGTAAGTGTTTAGTGTGTGAGGTTGTCTTAACTTTGCTTGAGAAGTGTTTAGTGTGGGAGGTTGTCTTAACTTAGCTTGAGTAAGTGTTTAGTGTGGGAGGTTGTCTAACTTTGCTTGAGGAAGTGTTTAGTGTGGGAGGTTGTCTTAACTTTGCTTGAGAAGTGTTTAGTGTGGGAGGTTGTCTTAACTTTGCTTGGGGAAGCATTTAGTGTGGGAGGTTGTCTTAAC